AGGACGAGGAGGAGGAGGAAGAAGAAGAGGAAGGAAAGAAAGATTAAAGATTTCACAGAACTTTTATGTGTATCCTAACTTTTATGTGTATCTCCAGATGACTCAGCTAGCTATATACACATTGATATTTTTTAAATGTATTTAGTAGAAGGCCTACAGGGTCTCACTACACAGACTGGACTTATAGTGATCCTCTTGTTTTCAGCCTCCCAAGCACTGGGATTACTGGCGCATGCCACCACGCCCAGTCTTACACATTGATTTTTAAAAATCTAAAACCAGCCAGATGTGATGGCCCATACCTGTAATCCTAACACTCAAGAGAGGCAGGAGGACTGCCAGGAGTTTGAGTCCAGCCTGAAATGTATAGTGGGAACCTGTCTTAAAAGTAAGACCATTCCCTTCCTAAATTATATTGAACCTGAAAATAACAACGATGTTGAAATATCTATAGATACTGAAAATCATTAATTTGAAACAACTCCTATTTTGCCACTTTAACAGGGTTTTTTTGTTTGTTTAGTGGAACCAGGGATTGAATTCAGGCCCTTTCACTTGCTAGGGAAGCGCTTATTCTACTGAGCCATCTCCCTGGCCCCATCCTTTAACAGTTTTGAAAACAGTTGACACTAATCAGAGAACTCTGGGGTTTTTTGGTGGTGGTGGTGGTGGTGGTAGTGGTGATGGTGGTGGTGGTGGTGGTGTGTGTGTGTGTGTGTGTGTGTGTGTGTGTGTGTGTTTGTAACTGGGAATCAAACGCAGGACCTCACATGTAATACGTAAGCACTCTACCACTAAATTATAGTCCAAGCCTTTTTTTATCTTAAGACAAGGTCTTGCTAAGTTACCCAAGATGGCCCCTAACTTGCAGTCCCTGTGCCTCAGTCTTCCTGAGTAGCTGGGATTAGGCATGCACTAATGTGCCTCACTTTCAGTTTTCTTTATAATAGTTACTATCTGATCTTCTTTGAAAGGCAATAAGGTTGTTTTCAGAAAATGTACTGGTTAGTCTCAGTAATAAATTTTATAAATTGTGCATATGGATTAGGGTGCTTTAGGCTGCAAGGAAGGAGGAAAAAAGGAGGGAGGGACAGAGGGAAGGACAGAGGGAGGGAGGAATAATAGGTCACAAGTAATCCAAAACTCAACAGCACAATAGGGCAGGGCATTAAATCTTAGGCCTTCCAGACATACTTGAATGCAGTTCAGGACCCAAGGGCTCTAGAACAACTCTTCTATGACTTTATTGGGTGCATTCCATGCTGTGTCTCTTGAGTCTGACAAGTTGGAGGCTTAGGTCTGCCAAACTCCTAGACTTGAACTGCTTGGTGGTGGCTATACCATTCTGGAATCTTAGAGGTGGACCTATCCGAATTGTCCTAGTATGAGCTCTCAGTGGTAGCTCTTCCCCTGAGGCAGCTGTCTGCCTAGATCTAAAGACTGTCTGAGGAATCCTCTGAAACTGAGGTATAAGTAGCCACACTCCTAGAGCCTGTGTGTTTTGCATGCCTGTGGAGATGGCAGTGTGCTGATGTCACCATGTTTTACCATCTGTTCCTGCTGGAGGGGTAATCTGACCTCCATTGACCCGCAGCGCCCAAGAATTCTGGCCTGTGATGAGCAGGGAATCTCCAAAGATCTCTGAAATGTATTCAGAGTCTTTCTCCCATTTTCTTTTTTTTTTTTCTTTCATTTTCTTGATAAGTAGTATGTGGCTTCCACGTATCCATACTAATCGCTATCAAATGTGCACTTGATCATACTTTTAGTGTTTTCCGTGTGAAACATACTTTTTTGCTCTTTTTAATATGGCTGAGATGAGACTGTTCCAAATTTTTAAGTTCTGTTTCCTTTTCTATTGTAAATTCCATTTCTGATTAATTTATCTGTTCTTACAAATAATCGAGAGAAGCCATGTGTTATGGTTTACATATAGATGTCCCCCAATGCCTGATGGACTCAAAGGTGGGCATTTGGAGAGTTGATTGGATCCTGAGGGTGCTATACTCATCAGTAGATTAGTCTGTCAATGAATTAATAGTAAAATACCCCAGTAGGAGATGGGGCATGGTTGGGAAAAGCCAGTCACTCGGAGCATTGCCCAGAAGGGTATATCTCCTTCTCTGATGCCTCCCTTTGCTCTTTGCCTCTAGTATGCAGCTTTTCTTTTGCTGTCTCCCCTGCCATGCTAGCCTACTTTGAACCCAACTGACTATGGATCAAAACATGAGCCAAAGTGAATTCCTCCTTTAAGTTATGAACTCTGGGTATTTTGTCCTAGTGACAAGAAGTAACTAAGACATCATATTCACTCATGACTCTTTGCTTAGATATTTCTTCCACCAGATACCCTATTCATCACTACATTCATCTTTCTACAAAATGTTACGACACAAACCCAATTCATTCAAAATTCTTTGCATCTTTGCATCATTTGCATCAAATGCACCAGCATCCAAAAGTTCTTTGCAACTTAATAGCAGTGACCACCTCTCCTCCTATTTTCAATAACATGTTCCTCATTTCCTTCGGATACTAAGAATGGCCTTTTCTGTCGATAGGTCTGCTAACACCCTGTAATGATGTTTTAGATAATCTCTAAGATGCTTAGAACTTGTTCTGTAGCTCCCCTGTTCTGAGCCCTCACCAGAATCACCCTTCATGGTCTATTTACAGAAGCAGCCTGTGCTTCCAAACTCTTCCAGCTGCTACTCATCACCCAGTCCCAAAGCTAGTTCCACACTGTCAGGTACTTGTTAGTGGCAACCTCCCCACTTCTTGGTTCCAATTTCTGTCCTGGTCCATTTGGGCTGCTGCAATGAACTAGATGGGACAACTTAACTCAGTACTCTGTCACTGTAGCAAAATACCTGAGATCGTCAACTTATAAAGAGAAAAAGGTTTATTTTGACTCAGAGTTTTGGATGTTTCTGTCTATGATCAGTTTGGTCATGTGGCTTTGGACCTGTGATAATGCAGTACCTTATATCAGGAGGGTGTGGTGTTGCAAAACCTCTCACACTTCATAGCCAGAAGGCAAAGGAAAGGTAGAAGAAGCCAGAGTCCCGAAATGACTTAAAGGCCTCAGGACTTCCCATCAAGTTCCATCTCTTATTCTATGACCTCACAATAACACCAGCCTAGAAACTAATCCTTTAACACATGGGTCTTTGGGGATGGTCAAGGTCCAGACTGTAGCACCAGTTAAGCATTAGAAATCTATATTGTCCTCAATTCTGGAGGCTGGAGTATCCAAGATCAAGATGCCAGTGAATTCAATGTCTGGTTAAAGCTTTCTATCTGCTTCAAAGATAGCACCTCCTTACTGCATCTTCACATGGTTGAAGGGAAAGGCAGCTTTCTGGGGCCTCTTTGAAAGGACATAATCGTGAGGGAATAGCTTTCATGATTTAATTTCCTCTCAAAGGCTCACCTCCTTAATACCATCACCTTGGGGGAAAGGCTTCAACATATGAATTCTGAGAATATGAACATTCAGATAATAGCACACACATATAGGACAGATGGAGAAATGAAAATAGGGCATTTTCCACCTTTCTGAATGTAAGTAGGTTTTGTCATAAAAGGAGAGGAGAGCTATTAGGTAAGCAGTCTGTCACCTCCCTGGCTTGGTTGGTTCACTTTCACAAATATTCTCTTCATTATTTTTTCTCTTTTCAGTGATAGTTTCATTTCAAAAGTGTTAGAGAGTTCAGGTTAGGTGTGGTACCTAGATTCACCCATTCACCCTTCTCTTGAAGAGTTCTGACTACTAAAAATATATAAAGGATTGTGAGTCAGATGAAGATGCTAACAGTAGCAGCAATAGCAATAGTCACAGGGGCCAATACTGGCAGAGTTCTGCCTCTGTGTAGGGATTCCATGTACAAAGTAATCATAACATCGAACAGATGTAAAACCTTCTTCTCCCTCCCTCTCCTCTCCAGGCTCTCCTCTGCTGTTCTTTGAAACACTGTTAATGAGATACTCTTTCCTAATGTCTTAGATAAAATCTCAGGCTGTGTTAGGCTTCTGTGGTCACTCTTAGATAATCAGAAGTCTCCCAGATGTCAGTTACACTACTGTGTGCATTTGTCAAAACTCAGTGGATGTATGTTTGAGAGTTCTGCATTTCTTAGCTCAAAACCATTTATTAACCAAATCAAAATCTTATTCTAATACCTATGATCATCTAGAAAACCTTCCACCTCCTTCAAGTTCTTGATACTTTGTATGCATGTATCATAAGCAATGCATTTAGGTTACTGCCACATACACATTGATTCATATAGGGAATGGATAACAATAAGCTAAGTTGAATACATCTCATGTCTTCCTTTTTGGTAAAAACAATATTTTATAATCAAGAAATTAAAAAATAATGAAACATGGGATGGCTCTTGTTGAACATAAAATACTAAAATAATTCTTGCCCCCAAAACCAGAGATTAGTTTGCTACATCTTTAGTTGGCAGCCAT